CTGCTTGTCAGAAATGATGGGTGGGGAGCAGGGACAGAGCGCCACAACCCACCACCTCGTGCCACTCCCCTACCACCTGGCCCATGAATGCCCCTCACTTCACCTCTTTTCCCACCACCTGCAGTAGCTGGAGGGATGAATTTAAAATGATCCTCCAATACTTAGATTCCATATGTGAAAAATTAAAATAAACTAGCCAACTGCTTGTCAGAAATGATGGGTGGGGAGCAGGGACAGAGCGCCACAACCCACCACCTCGTGCCACCACTGCCTCCCAGGAGTGGGGTGGGGGGGAAGCTTGCCCCACCCTTCCCCTCATCCATCTCCCTGTGCTGCTGCCACCTCCGGGGAGCAGGGTGGGGTGGGGTGGGGTGTGTGGGGGAGAGCGAGGCCAGCAGTGATGGCCTTGCCCCTCCACTCCATCCCCTCCATCCCTGCCGTCACAGCAGCACTCTGCCGCGCCGACGCCGCCTCCTGTCGAGAACAATCTTGGAGCACTCTGATTGGTTGTTTCAGTCAGCATTATGATTGGCTGCCAAGACAACCAATCACAGTGCGAATAAGGCATTATGGTCGGACAGACACAGACTAAGGCTTTTGTTATACTGGAATTATAATAAATTTATAAAAATTTGTGCGTGTAGAGTGTAATTATTGGGGGGTTGTTTCACATTCAGGGTCATCTTGTATTTGAGTAAAGACGGTAGTTTCATATTATATGCCTTTCAGTGACATTTTACAAGTTCAGCCTTTTTCTCCTTCTTAGCCATGAACCTATTGTAACAGATGTAAATGTAAGTTTTGTAACAACAGTTAATGTTTCGTATTCATTAAAACAAGTTTACATCTTAAGATCACCACAGGGATCCTGGTTTTCTCTGTTTAAAAATCACAAATTCTCTAATAAAATAAACTGCAAAATCTCTGATTAAAACCCCCCAAATCCATCACTACCCACCCACAGCTCCCCTACACCTGCTGATGCCCCTCACTCACTATGCGCAGCCTTCCACCCTCCCCACCCCCAAGCCCTGCTGAAGGGGGCCCCCAGCTGCCAGCGCTACAGGGTCAGGGACCTGGGCCTGCAGCTCCCTGCCCCCGCAGCAGCGCCCAAACCCAGGCTGCCACAGAGCGGAGCACAGAGCCCAGCTCCCCCTCCCCTGCGGGCAGCACAGTAAGAGCAGAGCATGTGGAGGGGGCAGGTGCAGGCTGCCTGTTGTGGTCTCAGGGCTCCCCACACTGCTGCCCTCCCCCTGGGGCCTCTGCAGCCTAGCAGGCGAGACCCAGCTCAGCAGGGCACAGCAGGGCGGGGCAGTTCCAAGCTCAGTGCCTCTGCCACGAGCCCCATGCCACCATAGCAAGGCTCCCCCTGCCCATCCGGCAGCAGCAGGGATGTTGGTGCAGAGTTATGCCTCCTGATGCTGCCGGGTTGGCAGGGGATGCCTCACCATGGCAGTGCTTGGCTTGCGGCAGTGGCACCAAGCTTCCCTGCCCAGTCCCGCTGCGGGACCGGGGGGGCTACAGGGGGCTTTTAATTTTAATAATGAATTTTGGGGTTTTTAAATCAGAGAATTTGTGATTTTTTTGTCAGAGAAAACCAGGATCCCTGTGACCACCTTCCTCCCGCTCCCCCAAACCTCTTGTAGGCTGGAACTCTGTCAGCCTGCAAGTACAAACCCATTTCCCACATTTTTCTCTCTTAAAGGAGAAAATCCAGGTTTTTCTCCTTAAAATGAGAAAATCTGTTTTTCACTGCATTTTTCCATGGAGAATGGAAAACCCAATCCCTAATCATCAGTACTAAACCTTAAAATGGATGCAGATATACAGGCCTGCTACTGCAGTGTCAAATATGGGAGGGGAGAGACAGAGTTAAAAAATATGCTCAAAAATAATATGTAACACTTGGGCTGATTAGTCTAAAAAGGCTGTTGCATGAAAGTCATATTACTGAATAGATTCTATCAGCTCACTCTGGAATAAAAAGCTTGCTGCTTGCCTTTTGCAAGTTTCATTTGCAATGCTGGTGGACTCTGGCGGGGAGGGGAGGGAGAAGAGGAATCAGCTAGCAAGCTGAAAAGCAAACTCAACATGTACTGTCTCATTAACGCTCTGAAGTGTAGAACAGTTTTAGTACAGCAGATGCTTTGCGTTCCGTGTTACAATCCAGGTTGGAGATTAGAAATGTTTTATGGTTTAAACAGAAAGATTAAACTCAGAGGTTCAAATCAGGAATATGGAAGCATACTGCAGTTCTAGATGGTGGGGTGGTAGTGGGGGCAGTGGAAGAGAGAAGAAAGGGAGGAACAGAGAGTGAACGCATTTAATTTACTAGGGTGCCAAAGCCAGGGTACCAAACCTCCCTGTTTCACTGGTTCAGTCTCACTTGCTGTTGGGTTACAGCAGTGGAACAGAGGACAATAAATAATAGAGGCTTCACACTGTGCAAAAGACCCAAATAACTGTGTGCTTGCATCTCCTAGAAACAATTCTTCAATGTGGGCGATGCAATTATCAGACAGCAAGCCTAAAGGAAGAAAATTGAAATCACTGTACTTAATACAGTCCTCTCCACCCCACCTTTTAAACTGTTCCCTTCTTGCTTTGGTCAGGAACAATCGCTGCTCTCCAGTTAGGCAGTGCCCTTTCAGACTGTTCATACTTCTCCAGAAAGGGAGGCTAATAATGTGACTACCTATTACAGCAAAACATTTATATTCATTTGCAATGTGGCCATGTGTCGCTTAATCCACGACTAAAGAACAGCAGTCAACTCAGAGCTACCTTTCCCCTATAGGTGCCCAAAGAGGTGCCTAAGTGGCTGCCCTTTGGTTGCCAGGTGGTAGTGCACCGGCACCAGACAAGTTACCCTTGCTGCTCAGCAAAATAACTTCAGACAAAGCCACAGCCAACCTGACAGGTTGGCTCAGGCTGCCCCAGTGACAGCAGAGGAAAAATTCAAACTGAAAAAGAAACTGTAGCCTGTAAGATAGAGATAATAAAATAGGACTTTGCAAGCCTGTCCTCGGGGAAGAGGGTGGAAAGCTGGGCATATAAAAGACGTACCAGACTAAACTCAGACCAAAACCTGATAGAAATACAGGACTGCTTCTGATAACAAGCAATGCTAGGCTGCTGATTAAACCTCTCCCCTTCCCAAGCACTGACTGAAGAGAGAAAGGGAGACTGTGCTTTATGCAAGAGAATAAAGCAGTCAGAAATCCCACATGCTTTGTGCATTATACCAGCATTAGAGCAGCTTACTTTTCCTTCTAATTAGATGTTTTCCATTCAACTTTCATCATGATTTATCTGATCAAATCCATCACCTCCACCTTTTACTTTCAGTAAAGACCCCTCAGGATAAATAATTTGTTGAGGCAAGATAGCTTAATTCACTCTATAACCTGAATCACAAAAACAAACAAACAGACCAGTAGAGGTCTTTTATATATCTGGAACGCAACCTCTAACATTCAATACGGCCTCTCTTATATAAAAAGTGCGTTATTTTACTCCACATAGCCAGCTCTCCCATGATATACACCTGACATAGCCATAAAGATTCATCCAAAATGCAGGATTAAGTGAAGAAAGCTCTGCCAGTCATCAGACCCACTCTGTCGACTCTCTCTCTCCATCTCCTCTAGTGCTTTCTCATCCAATTTATGCAAGGTTTGGCGGTTACTATGGTTGAAAGAGCTACTCTGCAGTTTTAAAGAAATTCTATACAAGAGAAAGAGATTAAATTTCCTCTTAGAGTTTTTCCATTCTCTTTTTTTTGTAAGGCCCCAAGAGACATTTGAATGGTATCATGGGATATGTAGAATTACTGATCTACAGGCTCTGATATTTGTAAAGAAAAAAAAATTAAGCACAACTCTTCAAGCAACGCAGCTCTACTGACATCTAGTGCAACATGGGCTACCAGCACTCTGACAGGATTACATCTCTACACCCAAAAACAAATCTTATTGAAAAAGGAGAGACCAGGCAAGTCACATTTTCAATTTTTGCCACAAAGGCCTGTCCATATAAAATAAATGCTTGCAAAACCAGAACTTGGGAAAATGTCTAACGTGCCTTCTAAAAGCTCAGATGAGCTTAAATTAGTCAGTTGCTCTCAAGCCTTTATGTATCTTGGATGTCATGATAGTGCTGCTTTCTCATGCCTATTTTTAGGAACAGTTAAAGAATAATCATGGTGACAAGAGACAGATGAGTATGAGTATGGAGCAGCAAAAATATCAGGTGTCGCAGACACCATTTGTACTCCATGTAACCCTGACCGGGTGGGTTCTGCAATAAGAAAGGGCAAATACAAATGTATCAGAGCAGCTACCACTGCAGAATCAAACTTTGAAAAAACCCAGCCTAACTCCGCAACTTATTATTTTTACCTCAGGGGGTAGGAAAATGACATCAGCCCTGAAGAGATTACATTTGCAGAGTTCACTTGCCTGATCCAATTCATCCCAGCAGAGTTGCCCTGTTCCTCATTAACCTCCTGTACAATGCAGAGTTTAATCTGAAAGCACTCTAATTTCTCAGGAACAGATGTTCTCCACTTAAATCACCCTACCTAAACCCACCTACAACACAAACCCCCAAAATGTCAAGAGTCTAGAGGTCTATATAAAGAATAGGTGCATTAAAAACACAGCCTGTGACTCACAATTAAAAGGCAGGCTTTAACGATGAACAAAAGTGTTTTGTAAATGCTGCTCCACATGACACATATGTGACCTTTAGCAGGACAGTAGGCAGCCTTCAAGAGGCCATGGAACTGAAGAAAACAATGCAATTATTTAACTTTGTAGGAGTTATGGTAAGCATAAAACCCTTATAACAGAAAAGCAAGCTACACTGTACAATAACTGGAACCCTCCCCCAGAGCAGAACAAAGCCCCTGACACACCCTCATTGCACGGCTGCTATGTGCTGTCATGCAATGGGAAGCCTTTCCCCTTCCCCCGAAACAGAGCCTTCCAACAACTCACCTGCTTTGGATCTACAGTGGCTGCAGGGGACTCCAGTTCAATAGTCACGGGGCCGTCATTCTGGATATGCACTTGCATGTATGCTCCAAACTTGCCACCTGAAACAAGAGAGAGAGACAGAACATTTGCACAGGAGTCTTAGAAGAATAGCATGTTAAGAACTTCTAAATGGTACCATGATAAAAAGCATGGCCAATGCTTTCAGTGGCTTTCTCAAGTGAAGCTCATATATACAGGTGTAAGGGACACAAGGGGACTTACTGTCAAGATTGTGAAGCATCCAGCAACTTTAGCAGGCTTCCTCCCCCCACAAAAAAGAACAAAATACTTAAAAAAAAAAAAAAAAAAAAAAAAATCAGAAAATCTACTATTAAGTAGGAAAGAATGTAAACACATACACTTCAGAGCACAAGCAGCTAACTGATAGAGGTGAAAAAGAAATTTCCCCTATGGCAGCGGTCAACAACCTATGGCCTATGGGATCTATCTTGGAGCCTGGGGACTTTGCCCATATTACACCCCACCATGGCTATATGTCAGGGAGAAGGAAGAGAAGCAAGATCCAAGCCCCAGCCCACGTTGGACCAGAACTGGTGCATTCCAGCCTGCTGCCAGACAAACATTGCCAACCACTGCCCTATGGCCATAACTGTCCACTATGAGGGGTGATTTTTAGTCTTCCACTGAAATATCTTCCGTTGGCTACTGTAGGCAACAGGATATTGAATTAAATTAACTCATAGTTTGATCTGATCTGGCAATTTCTTTATTCCTCTTTGAAATGTGAGATGTCCATACTTAAGGCGCCGCAAAAATATTAACTGCCCTCTCTTATCCCTCCAATCAACTGCTGAATTGGAGCCTACTTTAGAAATGCCTAAAACCACGGAAGCAATTAATCATAAGTGATATGTTTCCCACATATATTGCCACTGCTTTACAATTACGTTTACTTTGGGGCACGGGACAATTTTTGTTCTGTGTCAGGATAGCACCAAGTAGAATGGAGACCCTGTCCATGATCAGGTCTCCTATGCCCTGTAATTATACCTATGGCAGTGCCTCAGGCTGCTTTGGCAAACATCAGCTCCAAGATCTGTGACCACGATACATAACTCAGGAACCACGCATAAAAGTATGGACCGTGGACTAGACCTTATTCCACCTTGTAGCCACTTAAGTGTACATTTATACCATGTCTCCAACAACCTCAGGGAGGGATGTTTCCAAGAATACCCTGGTCCACCTCTCACTCACCTTGGCCAAAAAAGGTGGCAGTCAAGTCACTGGAGGGGCACTCCTACAAGTACTCACGTCATGAAAGGAGCTATGAGGGGAAATCTACAGAGAAGGTAGGTTTCGGTCAGGGTATATCCAGGAGCATCCCTAATCAAGAGTACCAGGGACTTGATACAGATATAACAGAGTATATTTATTTGCTGTAACAGGGTAGATGAGTGCCTGGAATAGGGACAGCAGCACAGGGACAGTGGCAACTTCCAGCTACTGGTACTTCTAGCATGGTTATGCGGCTGCAGCAGCAGCTGTTATTTTTCCATCCCCCTCTTAAGTCAGCGCTCAGGGATGCTGCCTCTGTTGCCCCATATTGGTTACACTACTGGATATATCCTTCATATCTAAATACAATCCTATTCCACCTTGTTGAAATCCCTAATAAACTGTTCATGCAAAAAGAGGATGGGCGCTCCTCCTCTTTCTCTTCAGCTTAGCTTAATTGTTTCAGTGAACATATACACGGTTTTAAAAATACTGCAGGGTTACTTTAGATAGCATTCAAAAAGGATTTTCAGTCAGCAAGAAATTACTGCATCTTAAAATTTGCTGCTCCACACTTTGGCACATACAGGATGAGACAGTTTATGGTGGAATTTCTAATTAGCAGCAAGTGGACACTAAATTTATAGACTATTACTTTAAGCTATCCAAACACCAAGGCTTCTTTTAGTCTCTAAAACAAGCACTAGAAAACCTCCAATTACAACATTCTTTCCAACCTCAGATGCACTGTCCTAGCAGTGGTTTTGGATCCAATACACTTAAGTATATCAGATATACTGCATGTTCACAGAGAATGGAGGTTCCAGAGAAGAGTCCCACTTCTGACCAAGTACTATTCTGAAAGGGTGTTTAAACTTCAAGCCTTTTCCATTAGCCCAAATGGACCATGAAAGTTGCTAAAAAAACACTGAGCCAAATCCTGGCCCGTTCACAGCAGAACTATGCAGCCTGAATATCAGTAGAAACACCATGGTTCTGCTGCTCAGTTGCCAGCAGTGTGCAAAAGTACCAAGTCAAGCTACATGACACACTTATGCAAACCTGTTGTCCCAAAGAAGTTACAGTGGCCTGTGGGTGGGCCCGGGGAATAGCATGGGTTGGGCCAAATCAGATCTACAGGAGAATGAGCTCCTGTGAGCACTAGAAGGAAAAGTGGTCTGCAGACAACGACCATTAGAGTACATGGCAGCTACCCTGCACTGTGCTGTACAATCTCCTTTCGCTCCCCACCCAAATCCTAAGTCCTTTTTTTGGGTCCCAATTTGAAGACTAGGAGTCAACCCAATTGTCATTAACCCCACCTTGGGCTGAGGGTTTTCTTGGTGTTTATTTCACTGATACGGCATGTGTAGTCTCATTGGAAGGCCCACATTATGCTGTATCCATTTATGTTGCCTTTATCACTGTATAGGTTATATTATGCTGTCTGTATATATCTTTATGATTTTGGATATGGTTTAGTCAAGGGAACTGAGGAATGAATGCTTAAGGAAAAGGAGTGGATAGAACTGCTACATCTCGCTTGCTATTGTGATACTAGGGCAAGGACAAGAGCTACTCCCAATCACAGACAGAAAGGGCCACTGGTAGGATGGACACTCAAATTACTGTGTGCTTGTAATGGAGAAGACAACCACACAAAGCAAAGGCACCTGAGAGAAATGGCCCATCAGCCAGAGGAATGCCAGGTGTCCTGGGGAAGTGAAGAGAGGTTTCTGGAGGATTCTGAAGACTCACAAAGAATTGGGACAATGCAGAAGTGGGGTGCTGGCTTGGAAATATTATTAGGGCTGTTTGGAAGTTGGCAAAGGTCTTTGGATTTTTCCCAGGCTGGAAGGAGTCCAGAGCCCCAGCAGTCAGGGCTGGCAAAATCAGCAGGGAAGCTGATCTCTAAAAACATTGGCAGAGCTCTCAGGAGGGCTAAGACATAGCCAGATGAGAAGGTAAGAAACTTTACTTGACTTTCTGTTCTGTCCAAATCTATGGACAACTTTTTTTTAATAATAATTCTCTTCTTTATAACAAATCCATGTGTTGGTTTGTCTCCTTACTGACTGCCTCTGGCAAAGAGTGATTTCTGGGTAAGTTATATTCCAGGCTTATTCATTCTACAAAAAGGAGGACCTAAATTTTCTTCCACAACCCAAAGGGAAGCCACTAAGGCTAGCAGAGATTCCTCTGCTGCATCTGTGAGGTCCACTGTAAGGGTAGATTGGAGCTGAGGCTTGCAGGGATAAGGAGCCATTCCAGGGCAGACCTTGCTCTGCTGATTAGGACAAGTTGCAAAGACAAGAGGAAGAAACTCAAGGCTCTGGGAATGCCCTATAGACCAGGTTTGTGATACCCATGCTCCCATCCAGAGGACAGTACTTGCATTTTGCAATCACCAAAAATTGCTCTCTGACTGCAGTCAAAACACACTGGTTTTCTTTGCAAATAAAATGCACCTTGATCCAAAGCAAAAAACAAAAAGATTACTTGCAGTACAACCCCACTAATGATTTCCATTAAAAGGGACAACTGAAAAGCAGTGGTTTCAAAAAGCTGCAACAAACTTAATTTTCCATTCAAACAAATAAAGGTATCTTGAAATCATCACTATTCTCAGAAAACAAAATTCTATTCTCAACACAAACTAGCAAGGCACAAAAACCCCCAACTAAGTTATAATGGAAAATAAAAGAAAATGTATGCGACTAAAGTATTATGAAGCAAGTGAAAAAACAGACCTGTTCTCATTTTATGAACTTGCAGGAGACTGGAACATGAAAGGAGTCCCACAGAGAAATGACGTTAGAGCAATCAGAAAGTTACAGCGATTATAATTCTTCTGTACATTTTTCAAACTCTTCACCACGCACGACAGATTACAGCACACAGAGAAAACCCAGGTGGCTTTCCCTATATTTGTGACCCAGGATTTTGCTGGCAAATCACAAGAGTAAAAATTTTCTGCAACTATTACAAGCAATTCACAGCTGAAAGATAACTTTTTTTAAATAAAGTTTACTGTTTGACGCATTGTTATGTCCCAGATTTTTAAAAAAAAATCTAAATATTGATGCCAACTTTTCAAGAAAGACTTGGAGGCAACTGGATCTTGACTACAGCACAGTAAGCCTTACAAATTTGGCCTCCACTCAGAAAGAGAAAGCAGCTCCTGCTTCTGCTAAGTACTTCTGATCTGGAATGCTAGCATGACACCTCGGCACAGGCTAGCAGGGAAGGGCCATGCTAAGATCTAAAAAAGTACCTGAAGTAGTTCCATGGCTTGCAAATAAGCAACTATACATTGCGGGTGAACTTTCATCAGCAAAGAGATCATTGTCACTTCTATACTACATAGCAAACAAGTTGCTTACAAGTGGCAAACCTGTGGTCAGGCAAACCTAATCCTAATTTTTACAGTCTTCCTTAACAAGAAGAAAGTTATTCTCTTAAATGTGATGGGGGGGGCGCAAATGTTTCAATCAGCTATTTCATATCATACCTCCAATATTTATAATTTCACACATGTTTAGCTTTGCACCAGCTCAGCTAAAAAAACCCCAAAAACCCAAACCAAACTACATGCGTGAATCACAGTTTTCAGAGGCTCATAGTATAGTCAAATCAAACTTAGGGTTTCACTGAAACATTCAGAGTACTTTTGTGCAATGAGATCTTTCTACCCAAGATGGATTTTTTTTAAAGGCATGAGGATTATTTCTTTCAATTCTCTTCATACCTAAAACTGACTGAATTCTTTTGACTCCAAGAATATGCCTCAGGCCATGCTTGCGGAATATTTCAAACCAAA